GAACCCAGCAGAATGGACGTGGTTTGGACATTGGGAGGGGTTATGGGACAAAATAATTTGAATTTGGCCTCTACTTATTTTACACAACAGCCATACAGACATGAGAACGACAAGTCCAAAATTCAGAATTGAGCTTACGTGAGGAACAAATGAAGTCCTTTAGTTTTAAGTTGCATTTATTTTATTTGCTGGGAGGTGAGTAAACAGGCACTTCCTCTACTGTTACCTATACATTTCTGTATTGCTGATCTACTTCCCCAATACCGTGGTTTCTTCAAAAATATCACTTTTGTCCAATAACTCTTTTAATGGCAACTGAAGATGGTACATGAGCTCCGGCCCATGTAATCTACCAGTCTTACCATCACCCAGAAGCATCTGGCCTTATACAGTGCTGGAATGGCCTGTTGAAAAGTCAATTGTAGCATTATGTAGGAAGCAGAAATCTTCAAGGTTGGAGGGCTGTCCTATAGGATATGGCTCTAGTTCTGGACCTGTAAGCAACCTATAGTGCCATTCTCCATTGCCAGGATGGGATACAGAATGACTCTCCCCACTCTTATGCCCCCCAAAAAATGATTCACAGATTTTTCCCCTTCCTTCTCTCCAAAAATAGGACTTGGATAGTTTGGAGGCTAAAATATTTGAGCTAAGATGCCTCTTCTTTGGAAAATATCCACAGTTCCATTATCTTGGAAACTGACATTTACTTCTTGTCCCCTGTCCATTTTCAAGTCTTTGGGTAACAAAAATTGGGGTTGAGAAGGCGTCACTGTCCTGAATGGGTGAGTGATCCAGGTGACCAAGGGGAGTTTGGATTGCTGCTTCCTAATGTGAGAAAGATGATTCGTTCTGCACCTGAGGGGATTCACTGGGGAGCCACCTAGCACTTCCGTGTCGAGCTGTAATGTTCCACAGAAAACTGATGCAATTCCATAATGGTACCACTTCCAAAAATTCATATATTTCAGCAACAAATTCCTAGGTTATTCCCACCAGGTACACATCCACCCACCAACATTTCCAGGTGCTGACAGAGTATAAGAAATTAGTTTCATAGGGAGATAAGATGACTTTTCCTTCACCCATTCCATGAGAATGTGTAGGAAACTTTCCTGTAACCACTAAAGTTACAATTTAGGACCCGTGTTTTATTATAATCAAATCGACCTCAAACTGTGTGTTATGCTGGCTATGGAAAAAAAGTGGTGAATTGGTTAGGTTATTCTCAGTTTGTTCAACCAGATATATGCTTCTCTACAAGGCTATGTTCCAGAATGCTGATACCATGGACCGCATCACTTTGGCTTCCTTGCTTTCTGGTTAGTAGATGATTTGAGCAATGAGAGACAGCAACCAGAAATGAAAGAGTAGAAGAAGAGAGTGTCTCCTGACACCGTGTGCGCACTCTCCACTCAGCCTCTAATCCCTGGCAGTCAGCTGCGTCCAGATTTCCCCCTGAGGAGGCTACGTATGGCCTCCACTAAGATCTGAGAAAAATCTCTTTAGGAGAATCTGGCCAAATCTCATCGCTCTCCTGTAGTCACTCCCCTTCTAAAATTTATTTGTGAGTCTGACTTCTGGGGACACAAGTCAAGCCCATTAAGGGTATGCTGAGTAGCCACAACCTTCCAGTAAATTTGAAGTGTAGTGGATTTTCCTCTTGAGAACTCAGCACACCATGCAGTTCCTGTGAAGTGGGCTTCCTGATCTCCAACCCACCCAGACTTCCAGTGTGAGTAGACACCCGCAGGTGGGTGAGTGGTCAGAGGTCACATGACTGTTTATGATTGCCTTCTTTACCAGGGCTCCATTGTTAGGCAACTCCTTGCAAGATGGGAGTTAGTTGGTATCAATTGTTTTGGGGCACTAGCCAAGTCTGAGACTGGACAAAGTTTCACTTGAATGTGCTGCTGCTCTAGTTTGGATAACTTTACTGACTATGTATATATCCAAGTACTGCTTGGCACAGTTGAGTAACTATTTGGTACATAATTCTCTGCTACTTGTTTTCTCACTCAGTATAATAGTGAGATTTATCTGCATGTAACTCTGTATCCTAAATTCTGTCTCTTCTGTTGTGTGGCCATGGAGTGTGGGAGGTTGACTGTTATCAGCCTCTGCTCCTGTGGCTTTGGCTCCTTCTTGCCTTACCTGCTGCTTTTTCAGCCTCCATTCCCCACCTCTTCTCCACCTCACAGCCACTGTTTGATGCTGGACTGCAGGTAAACAGTCACCAACGCAGGAGTGTCCAGGCAGCATTCCCCACAAAAGTGCACCCAGGAGGCCCCTCTACCTGGCAACCTCTAACTCATCCCCTCCATCCTACAGCCAGCTGCATCCTCTGAGGAGAGGTTGGTGGCTCCTTTTCGCCAATGCTGAATCAGAGCAGGGACAGAGAAGGCGACAGGGACAGAGAGGAGGGTGAAAAGGACATAGAGGGGTTAAATTTTCTACCCCATAAAAATCTGAGCCAGGTGCAGTGGCTCACGCCTGTAATCCCAGCACTTTGGGAGGCTGAGGTGAGAGGATCACGAGGTCAGGAGTTTGAGACCAGCCTGGCCAACATGTGAAACCCCATCTCTAATAACAATACAAAATAAATTAGCCGGGCGTGGTGACGGGTGCCTGTAATCCCAGCTACTCGAGAGGCTGAGGCAGGAGAATCACTTGAACCCAGGAATGGGAGGTTGCAGTGAGCCGAGATCATGCCACTGCACTCCAGTTTGGGCGACAGTGCAAGACTGTGTCTCAAAAAAAAAAAAAAAAAAAAAAAAATCTGGAGGAGACCTGACTGAGGGGCAAGATAACAATAAGCCTAAGCCTTAGATGTAGGGGAGGGGACACAGGAAGGGCCTTGGGGAATGCTGAACAGGCTGTGGGAACACAGGGAATTGGAGAGGAGAGGAAGTGAGGACAGAAGGGCTGCTCACAGGCTTATTTTGCATCTTTAAAGGACATTAAAGGGCAAGAGAGATGCTTAGAATTTGTGATGGCTTTAGTAAAGTAAAAATAAAATCCTGGCTGGGCACGGTGGCTCAAGCCTGTAATCCCAGCACTTTGGGAGGCCGAGACGGGCGGATCACAAGGTCAGGAGATCGAGACCATCCTGGCTAACACGGTGAAACCCCGTGTCTACTAAAAAATAGAAAAAAACTAGCCGGGCGAGGTGGTGGGCGCCTGTAGTCCCAGCTACTCGGGAGGCTGAGGCAGGAGAATGGTGGGAACCCGGGAGGCAGAGCTTGCAGTGAGCCGAGAGCGCGCCACTGCACTCCAGCCTGGGCGACAGAGCGAGACTCCGTCTCAGAAAAAATAAATAAATAAAAAATAAATAAATAAAATAAAATAAAATCCTAAGCCCTCACCAGCAAAATTGACCCTCCTTTGGCCAAGGGGATCCTAGAAGAACCTTAGAACTGAGTTCCTGGCCATGAGTAGATTGTAGTCAGACAAGCCTCATTATACTCCCTCTCTTTTATGGTTTAGACATAACTCATCAGCATTAATGTTCAAATAGACATCATAATAAGGACAGAACAGACTTTTTGAGGCAATAAGATACAAAGTTATAAACAGGATTGAAGGATGTCAGGTAAGGGTTAAGTCATGCACCCTTATGCTGAAAGAATAAAGTATGTTCCCACTGCCACAAGCTTTTCTTTTTCTCTAGCAGTTAAACAAGCACTGACCTAGAGATAAGCAATATTGAAACAATTGCAACTCACTTATTGCCAGATGCTGACTAACTGACCCTCAGTCTCCTGTACCATAGCCATAACTACAGCTTTCACTGGGCAATAGATTGATTGCAGTAACTCTCTCCTAATAAGAAACCACCGACCATGGACTGGCTCTGGCTGGATTATAGAGATTGAGCACTTATGTGCCTACGTGCCCTGAAAGATCTGTTGCTGTATAGGGCCTAAATGTGATACAGTTAAGTGCACCCCAAGGTGAACACGAGTGGTATGTTACAGGGATGTTTCTTGAAAATGAATGTGTCAGATCCTCCTTGTGAATATTCATAGCTCCTCCTGTAACTTGTAGAATTTGTATGTTCAGCCAACCCATTCAGCATAAAGCTCCTGCCCCAACCCTTCCTCCTTCCAAGTGCCAGTCTGTGGTCTTGGCCAGAGGCACTCTTCCCAGCCTGTGGCACGGCTGCTGTGTAGGCTGCAACCCTGTCTAAGAAATAGAGTCTCCTTCTCTCCTTTTATAAATTTATACATTGTGATTTTACATAAGTTAACACTTTTGTGGTTCACCTTATGTAAGTTTCATCTTACTCCTAACTTGAGCTTGCCAATATCCACCATTGCTCTGACCTCTTTGCTCTCCCTGTCCCCACTTCACCTTTAGCTGTCACTTCTTAGTGACCAATTGCCCATATAATTCCCATTTCAGGTTTCTTGGAGTGAGTATCTGACTTGCTCAGCGCATTCCTTGGGACAGAGCTTTTTGAATGGAAGCCATCTCGCATGTTTTGTTGAACTATTGGGTGGCTTCCCTTCATGAAAATTAACTCTCTTTGAATGGCTGTGGCCTGAAGGTTTGTTTGACATGCCAAAAAAAAAAAAAAAGCCACCAGGACATTCTACTTTCCTGGGGACAGTTAGCAGGGCAATTGCCTCTGGTAGGCTCTGTGGACATGATATCTGCAATGTTAAAGCATACCCCACACTCCCAGCCCTGGTGTTGGTCTGCTCTTAAACAATGTCTTTTCACTAGGACAAGCATTAGGTTTTAGAGGGGAACACCGGGGCTGTCTCTCCAAAATGGCTAGGGAGAAGAGTCTTTGCTCTTTGAATGCCAAGTACTACATCACTACGACTTCACAGTGTTTTTCCGTTTGATGGTGGGGGACATCTTTTGTGCAACATGATCTCACCCTCTGCTCCGTGTCTGAGCACCCCTGCACTGTGTTATTAGGATGAACAGAAGCCCCTTCCAGTGTAACCCAACTAAGCCCTGTCAGCAAACATATATCCAACCCAAAAGAATGAAATGACAGACTCTGTTTTAATGGCTCAAACATGGGAGGAGTTTATTGTTCTAATTATATTTAATTTCTCAAAATTCTGGGCAGGCCTCAGCACATAAGCCACATGACTTTTGTCCAAAGCCATGTTCACCCTGGAGTTGCTTTATGACAGCATCCATAGCCACCTTGACAGGTCGATGTCACTTCTGTGCCTGCCCAGTTGTCTGTTGATTAAAAAGACCAGCACATTTTTGGTGGGCTTCTTGCATTTGAAGGACTTGTCAGGCTTCTTGATGTTCAGCGCAAGCTTGTTGGCACTGGCTTTTGGGAGTTCTTTATCCATGACACAGCGGCTCCAAACAACCTCAGGAAGACAGCTCAACAAAGAAAGCCTGAAAAAGATGGTGAATTCCAGGTAATCAAGTGGACCTGGGACCTCTTCTTCACTGCCACACACCGACACAGCCACATATTACACGCACGTGCACACACACACACACAAACACACTCAGCTACCAGCAGTAGTCACAGGCGATTGCTTTGGGCCATCTTCTGATTTGAAATGCCAACTATATCATTTATTCAATCTGTCTCACACATGGGGCTGTATAGGAGCCTGATGGGACCCGGAACATTAAGGACACACTGTTGCATCAACCCGATCTTCATCTGACACACACAGACTTGTTAGATTGCACTCGAAGCACTAGCTTAAACTCAAGCGTTCTTATATCCACACTAATTTTAACTCAATTTTATGTTGCTTTTTTGCAGAGCTGCCTTCTTCTCACCTCTGTCTCCTTTGAAAATCATTGGTGAAGCAGGTATGGCTCTTACTCCAACCCCCTGTGTAAGAAATAAACTGTACATTCTCAAGCAATACCTAGTTCTGTTTCTAAGGCCCATCCTGCTGAGTTTCCACGTAGGGAATGTAATCTCAGTGATTTAAAGATTGTACTCACCTCTGATACCTGACCCTATCTCACCCCCAAAAATGCTGTGTGGTATTTTATTTGAATCTGGCACAATGCCAAGGCCAGGGGTGGATGCCAACTGTGTTCTCAATTTTGGGCTCCCAAGAGAGATTAAAGGACTTGCCCAAGGTTACAGAGAGGTGAGACTGGAACTGAGAAAGCCTGTATCTGAAGCCTTGTGCTCCTACCCACTCCTCTATAGTGTCTCTGTATCAGTTTGAACAAATGACTCTCCCATACCCTCCCCCGATTACCAAACAGGGTTGGGGTTTATCAGATTAAGTTAGTTAGGTAATGGCACAACAGGATGCTTTATGATCTTGGTATATCAGGCTATTTTACCTGTCAGGACACTCATTGCTTTTTAAGAACGATCTGGACCAGAGGGTAAACAGTAAGAGGAAACACGCTTTGGCACTGTTTCTCTTTCCCTGAGTCCCAGGGCCTTATTGGTTCGGTACCAAGTGAAGTCATGGTTACTATGGTGACTCACAATTGCCAACAGTCTGCAAGATTCAAACGCTGGCCACCATCACCTGGCTTCCTTCTGGTTCAGGACTCAATAGGGTGAGGAAATTTGCTGGGTGAGGAAGGAGGTATATCCTGTGGCTGGGCGCCATCTGCGTGTCTCTTTCCTGGATGAAACACTCAACTATCCTGACCTCAGAACTTCTTCCTGGCTTGTGCAGAATTCCTTCGTTAAAATTTCTTCTTTGTGTAGATTAACAGCACCCACTGCATCTTGCCAGGTTCCCTGGGTAGTGATCAGCAACTTTGTCTGCCATGCTCCAATCAGGGAATTAGTCTCAGGTCAAATTTCCCACTTACTTGTCAATCTCTGCATCCTGCCTTGGTCATGACTCTGCAATTACTCCCTTCTATAATACACAATTCATGTAAATGGAGTGTTTATTTAGTCGCAGAAATTAAACACTGCAATTTGACATTGCTGTGTCTCACACACCTAACCCCGTCCCAAAGCTCAGTGCAGTGGAGCGCCACACTTTCATTATGGGAAACTAGGATGTAGGTAGGCTTTTAATGCTTCAAAAAATCTATGCTAAAACTGGTCCAGTTCCTTGAGACACACTCATATGTCTCAAGCCATAGTCCCTTCCAAGTCTCTGATCTAGAATAACTATGTTGTTGCCATTAAAGTGTGACCCGTGTGGGTATTGTCTAGATGCAGGACATGATTTTCCAGGCTATCCAAGTGTATTAGTCAGGGTTCTCTTAGAGGGACAGAACTAATAGAATATATATATATAGATAGATAGATAGATAGATAGATAGATAGATAGATAGATAGATAGTGTTCACTTACACGATCACAAGGTCCCACAATAGGCTGTCTGCAAGCTGAGGAGCAAGGAGAGTCAGTCTGAGTCCCAAAACTGAAGAACTTCGAGTCTGATGTTCGAGGGCAGGAAGCATCCAGCAGGGGAGAAAGATGTAGACTGGGAGGCCAGGCCCGTCTCAACCGTTCACGTTTCTCTGCCTGCTTTATATTTGCTGGCAGCTGATTAGATTGTGCCCACCAGATTAAGGGTGGGTCTGCATTCCCCAGCCCACTTACTCAAATGCTAATCTCCTTTGGCAACACCCTGTAGGCACACCTAGGATCAACACCCTGCATCCTTCAATCCAATCAAGTTGACACTCAGTATTAACCACCACAAGTCTGCCCCTTGTCAACTTGAACCCATATACATCTCCTGAGAGCACACATAATCTTCAAATAAAGACAATAATAAGGTCATAATTATGTCTAACATAATACAACTATCCTTCGTACAACCGGAAACGCACCAATCCCCAACCCAAATATTATTACATAAAGTTAACAATACTAAATGCTGATATAAAGTCAATAAATCTTATGTCACATGATAAAGGAAAAGGAAATAAAGATATTTTCTTAGTGCAAGTGTATACATGCACAAACATGTTTTTAACAAAAGAAGGAGAAAATAATCATGACAACTACAATTCTCATTTCTGTAGCTGGTCACATGGTCGTAGCTAGTATTGATGACTATCTTCTTCTACTACCCATTCTGTATTCCCTTTGCCTTCAGCAAGCACCTCCGCAGGTCATGGTTTTTTTCCTGGTGGAGTGACTGAAACCTTCATTCCTGAAGGGTCTGGGTCATTTGTAGTCCTGCCTGGATTGGGCTGTTGTAGTTTCCCATTGGCCTTAATCACAGGGCATGGTAATACTAAGAGACGCCCTAATGGATCTCCTGTATTCCATGCGTACACTTTTTTTTTTTTTTTTTTTAAACAGAGTCTTGCTCAGTCACCTAGGCTAGAGTGCAGTGGCACAATCTCAGCTCACTGCAACCTCTGCCTCCCGGGTTCAAGCGATTCTCCTGCCTCAACCTCCTGAGTAGCTGGGATTACAGGCGCGTGCCACCACACCTGGCTAACTTTTGTATTTTTAGTAGAGATGGAGTTTCACCATGCTGGCCAGGCTGGTCTCGAACTCCCGACCTCAAGTAATCCACCCGCCTCAGACTCCCAAAGTGCTGGGATTACAGGCATGAGCCACTGTGCCCGGCCCATGTGTATTCTTTCTTACCTCTGTTGTGGAGTAGTAGGCTGATTTCATCTTGATAGTCCGGGTCAGTCACCCCAGTCAACACTATAACTTCCTTCTTAGCCTGTTGACTTAAAGGTAGGAGGAGCCCAAAGTGTCCAGGTTGTAAACTTAACTTCCAGTTTAATGGAATCACTGTTGTGTCTCCTAGCATTCCTGCCTCTGGAAGTAAGACCTATAGGCCAGCAGAATGTAATGTAGTGTCACGGGAACAGGAAGCAAAAATTTTGCTTTCATTATCACATTCTTTTTTTTTTTTTAGACAAAGTTTTGCTCTTGTTGCCCAGGCTGGAGTGCAATGGCACAATATCAGCTCACTGCAACCTCCACCTCCTGGGTTCAAGTGATTCTCCTGCCTCAGCCTCCCAAGTAGCTGGGATTACAGGTGCCCGCCACTGTGACCCGCTAATTTTTTGTGTTTTTAATAGAGACAGGGTTTCACCATTTTGGCCAGGCTGGTCTCGAACTCCTGATCTCAGGTGATCCACCCGCCTTGCCCTCCCAAAGTGCTGGGATTACAGGCATGAGTCACTGCGCCCAGCCTCATTATCACTTTCATCATCAGGAGGGCAGGAAGCATCCAGCACAGAAGAAAGATGTAGACTGAGAGGCTAGGTCTGTCTCTACCTTTCATTTTTCTCTGCCTGCTTTATATTCGCTGGCAGCTGATTAGATTGTGGCCACCAGATTAAGCATAGGTCTGCCCACTTACTCAAATGCTAATCTCCTTTGGTAACACCTCACAGACACACCCAAGATCAACGCCCTGCATCCTTCAATCCAATCAAGTTGACACTCAGTATTAACCATCACACAGAGGGATAACGGTAAGGATCCTGCTTTGTGTTTTTTGTAGTGGGGTTCTCATGAGGAACTAAAATGACTATTATGAGGAGACGTGGCTTGCCTACACACCGGCTGCCCACTCAATCTTATGTAAGAACTGAGGAAATTGAGGTTCCTGTAAAGGGACGCAGCACACTCCCTTTCTTGAGTAGCAGGGAAGGAAGGCTCAGTCTTCCGGGTTTTCTTCTACCCCACGTAGAACCATGTAAAGACCATGAGGCCACGTTCAGTGTCCTAAACAATTTGAAGAGGGAAGAGAACTTATAGGTATAGAATATTTTATTAACAAAGAAAGTGGAAAACTGTCTTTCTCTTAAGGAACTGACATCCTAGAAAAGCCAGGCAATCACCTAGGAAGTAGGCCAGGAGAGGCTGACTGACAGAAGTTAAAAGCATAAAAATTTGCATAGTAGGCCAGGCACAGTGGCTCACGCCTATAATCACAGCACTTTGGAAGGCTGAGTGGGGTGGATTACTTGAGCCCAGGAGTTCAAGAACAGCCTGGGCAACATAAGGCGATCCCATCTCTACAACAAAAATAAATAAATGAAAAAATTGCATATTCTTCCAATAAATAGGGAATATAATAGAAATAAAATATCTTACTTACATTGGTCACAATCGTTATGAAACACCTAGGAAAATGATAAAGACACATATAAGGAAAACAAACATGCAACTTTTTATGAGCTTCCAGTTTGAATATTCAAAAAGATTTTAAAATACCACATTTTTCTTAAGAGGAGGATCAATTTTTGCAATGGCATCAATTATCCTCTAAATAAATCGGTAAATCCAGTGCAATCCTAATCATAAGTCACAGCAGAATTTTGAGTGTTTGTGTAACTGGAAGACCAGATGAAATTATACTGCAAAAAAATGTGAAGGATTATGTTAAAGGGGGAGCTTGTCATTCTGGACTTGAAACTTACTTTGTAGGATTAGTAAATGAAACAGGAATTGATAGACATGTCCACGGACCAACATAGATTCTAGAAATATATTCATGCAAAGCCGACTCTTTTGGTCAAGTGTGTGTGTGTGTGTGTGTGTGTGTGTGTGTGTGTGTGTGTTAGGGAGGGGAAATGCAGAGGGGTTTCCAGGACTACTTGGTGCTTCTCCTTCAGGTAATTCTGAATTCCATCAACTTTCACAGGTCTCTCTTCTGAAGTGCTGTCTTCCTGAAGCCATCTGTGGAGTCAAGCAGTCATGACTCAGGGACACTCTGAAGTCGGTCCCAGCACATCTGCACGGGGCATAAGAAGGAAGGCAGATGATGAATACTTAAGACCCACCCTGGCCACTAAATCCGTGCTGAGCATTTTACTCAGTAGACAACTTGGGAATCACAGAAATGATATGGATCTGACAGTCACTGTGGATGCTGGCACAAGCCACACCAGGCTGGAGCTGGCCTTTGCCAACACACCATGCCATCAACTCACCTCTGCCCTCCGGAGAGGATGGAAAATCCAAGAAAATAGTGTGGATCAATAAATTCTTCCCCTGCAGCAACCATTACAAATGGAAACTGTGTTGCTTTTGGTTGGACGTGGCTTTTGTTCATGTAGTTTCTTGACTTCTGAGCCACCTCTGTGCTACCAGAGGTCACAAGCAGATGAACTCTATCTACTCCCCCTTGAAGGGTGTTTACTAATGTTGCAGAGTCTGGGGGTGCTGGAGTCAAGAAGGGCCCTGTTTAGAGAAGCTGGAAGGGAGGCCGAGTGGACACATGGAGAGGCCCTGCAGCCCTAAATTTCTATTGGGAGGGGGCTTTAAGGAGCCCACTTAGAGGTCTTGATTTGTCTCCCTTGATGTTTGGAGTAGACAGTGATTAAAAGTTGGAATCAAAAGTGAATTTAAAATGGGAGTGGTTGGTAAAGCAGGGAGGGAGTTCTCTCAAGATAAAGGGAACTAATGAAGCAACTATAAATGCCCCAGAAATAAAGAATTGTCTTTGAATTTTTGGTGCAAAGTAACTTTGAGCCTACATTACTTTTAGCCAGACATTCAAGTGTGAGGGTAAATTAGCATGCAAGGTGTTCAAGTGTGCTTTCCCTGGAAATAGACCCTGAGACACACTTGTGAGTAGAAAGTGCTTACTTGGGATGGAGTCCCAGATAGCGCTGGTAGGGGTGTGGGGACGTGAGACATACAAGCAAGGCAGCCAACCAAGGGTGGGGAGAACTATCTATCAGGTTACCACTGTGGGCAATTGGAGCTAATTCTCAGGGGGACCCTGTGGGAGACCGTGTGGAACGTATACCTCACATTCATCCCGAGTGTAGGGTGAAGAGGCTGGGGGTATTTAGCCACCAAATACCCAACCATACTTGTTAAAGCACTTCCCCCAGGGGTGATATAAATCTCTGTCACCTCCATCTTGCCTTGTTTGATGTCCAGCATGGTCCAAAGGTGAGAAAAAAAGCCCCTAAGGCAGAGAGTCATGTGTAGTAAGTAGCCCTATAGATCCAAAGGTGAGACTTAGCTCTGCAGAGCCAAGAGTCATAGGTGTTTTTAGTAACTAGTCTTGAGATTTAGAGGTGAGACCTGAGGGGATACAAGAAGACCACCACATGAGTCTGCTATACAAGGATTTAAAAAATATACTACCATATCTATTTGGGACCTAATAGCAAACAGAATTTGAATCAGATAGTTCAAGTAGTCATACTCTAATAAAGGAACCACTTGCATATGTAGGCAGAGAGAAGATACCACATAGGCTGTTTGGATCAGCAAGAATGGGAAGTTTTTAGGAAACCTGGAATTTCA